ACCAGCTCCCATCCCACCAGCTCCCACCTGTCCAACTCCAATCTGTCCCCCTCCCATCCCACCAGCTCGTCCAGCTCTGACTTGTCCCTTTCCCATCCGTTCAGCTCCCACCTATCCCCCTCCCATCCCACCAGCTCCCAGCTGTCCAGCTCCCATCCATACAGCTCCCACCTGGTTTCCTCCCATCCCACCAGCTCGTCCAGCTCGGACTTGTCCCATTTCCATCCGTCCCGCTCTCACCTACTGGCTCCAGCTTCAGGCCAAGACTACCACAACCTCCGTGGTTCAGTGTCTGCAGCCAGTCAGCTCTGTCCTCCTGCCGCTTCCATCTGTCTCCAAAACCGTCTCTGAATCCACCCAACCAGTCCTGGTCACGAACCAGCAGGTCCCTCCCCTCCTGCTGACCAACAGTCTGCTCAAACCTCCCCCTGCTGTGCCTCAGTTTCCCATGATACTCAGCAACACCGAGCTCTGCACCGCACCTGAAGTTCAGGAGAACAGTGACCTGATGGGAAATAGGATCCAAGGTCCAGGTTTGCTCAGTCAGAAGAACCTTCCAGAACCTGCAGCAGGACACCAGAGCAATCAGCACATCATCTCACCACAGCAGCAGAAGAGTCCGGCGCTGACAGATCAGGTCAACGAGGAAGCTGCAGAGAAACTACCTGCACCTGAAACATCTGATGGTAAAACTGAACTGTCCACACCTGAAACATCAGATGGAGAAAGTGAAGAAACCAGCTCTGTCAATGGACGCCAGGTCTTAAGTATGAGCCAATGGCAGCCCACAGTGCCTCTGGTCAGGCTTCCTGTGTCGCTGCCCCGACCCGGACGTCCTCCACCCAGCTTCCGTCTGGTCCAAGGATTCGACGAAGATGAGGTTTATGTGGAGGAGCTGAACTCTGAAGACTCTGAGGTAAGATATCACCTGTGAATCAGGACATTTATCCACACAGATTTTACAAAGCAGAATCATCATAGAGGACTTTAAAGGTCCTGTAAATTAATTTATGTTGGGTTGTGTGTGTCTAAAAAAACGTGGAGGTGTAAAATAGAAACTGAGGATATGAAGAGGCTCACATGAACTGCATTAACAGATTGTTCTGTTTCTGTTGTCAGACAGCAAAACGAGGACAAAGCAGTGACTGAAACTCATCCAGACAACATGTTAAATAGCAGTCACTTCATTTCTGAGCTGCTGCTCTACAGCTAAAATGCTGATCTTGTTGTTCTGTCGGTTTCAGGTTGCGTTCGATGTCTTGGAAGACACGGTGGATTTCACAGAACCTCTGTCATCTCCAGAATCTTCAATGTCTCTGGAGATTCTTTCTTGCTCTGCTTGTGGATCAGCCAGCACTTCAATAATCTGCTCATCCTGCGGTCGAGGATACCACCGAGAATGCCACGTTCCTCCAGTCGGGTCTGACATTTGGTAAGAAAACATTGGCTTCCATATTGCAGTATTAAGGATATTATTGACGTTTTGTTTAACAAGGTGGAAGCTGAAGTTTGTGCAGTGATTGAACCTAAAAATTGATTTATTGATTTGACAGTTTGAAAAAAAAAAAAAAATATTATTCCTTTTGACTATTTACCCTAAATTCATTCTTACTGCACAAGTAAGATAATA